TAACGCCAAGTTAAAGGGATGACCACGAGAGCACTCGAATGTAAGCGGATAGATAGATAGATAGATAGATAGATAGATAGATAGATAGATAGATAGATAGATAGATAGATAGATAGATAGATAGATAGATAGATAGATAGATAGATAGATAGATAGATAGATAGATAGATAGATAGATAGATAGATAGATAGATAGATAGATAGATAGATAGATAGATAGATAGATAGATAGATAGATACGCTCAAAGTCGCCGAAGTTTGCTAAGAAATGCTTCACATTTAATACGTCGAGCTACTACAGATGTAAAGATGTTCCATCACTTTAGGAAATTTTTAAAATACGTATTTTATACATGCGCTAGCCTAACAACAATGATCTATGCGGTAACATATATTTTAAACACGTATAGCAGCTGTATGTCTCGGTGTGATCTAGGATCACTTATGCATCAGGATCCTCTTTATCTAGAGGTATCGCATCAGCATAGAATTTTCGATCGAGGTAAAACATGAAAAGAATATTCCCTTGCTAGTAGTGATCTCTTTTCATAACTCCAACTATTTAATTATTGATATAAATGTATATTCACGAAGCCCGAAACATCTAGTATGCGAAATAAATCCTTAAGGTTACTTACACGTTGAAATTCGACGAGCGTTACGCTTTTCTAACACACCGCAAAAGCCGCGTCAGTACTTATAATGTCCGACGTACGCTTTTTTTCTGACGTTCGCTCGTAACATGAAGTTCATTTATTTAATTTGTCGTGTTTCTCTGTGGAACCTAATATTTTTTTGTACAAATTTTGCGAATGCGCTCACTTCTTTAATATCTATGGGTAAGTTGTAAACGAGATAGGCGATGACCACGTTTACACCGTCCGGTGGAGATAAATCAGACCACAAGTCAGATTTTAAGACAAAAGCCTTAGTTCTTTACGAAACGCGCGAATTGACGGTCGGTGTCCCGCCTCGGCGGCGACAGCACCTACGAGCATAGGCGTACAAACACGGTTACACGGTTCCCCGTCAGGGGGAGGGCGTGAAGCCCCCATACCTATTATGTCAACGTTTGGGGCTGACCTTGAGCCCGCAACCCACGTGTCGCAGCACCCACTTTATATACAGTCAATATATGCGGGTGATCACTTTGCGCCCCCCACACCTCTTAGGAGACTAAGAAGGCGGCCACCCCCACCCCCCTCCACGAGCACGCCTGTGCGTACGAGTGATGAAAAAAAATTACCACGTGATGACGTGACCCCAACATAAACGGTGCCAAAGTTTGTGATGCCATCATATCGCCTCATTATGACATCATCACTTTACACCGTCTGCGTGATCAGCCAACCGATCAAGGATGCAATGCAAAACAAAGTGAGGTGCTTGAATTAAAAGCGGGTAGTGCAAAACTGCGTTCGATGCTGAAAACCCTCGCGGGGGTAAACTAAATTTATCGACGGAAGAAAACCCATCGAGCTGTCTTAGGAGACAGCACAATTAAGGATCTTGTGAGTTGCTATTGTTTATTGGTGGCGTGAAAGGTAGACATGTCCAGGTATTGATCTCGTGTGTCACCGATTAGTCATGTTAGTCATACTATGTTGCCCATCATAAACGAATTGAACGAGACGCTAGACTTACGCCAATAACCTAGGACTCGCTCATGGATTCCGTGCCGACCGGTTGTGCCCTTGCGATTTCCGACGACAGTGTAGCTCTGACCGACTGGACTTGCTCTACGCCATCTCCTGACGCCGACGAGAGCTCTCGCAAGTGGTGCCCCGTCCTCGGACTCCTGTGACCACGTTTCCATTTTTCCTATCTCTCCTATCTCCTCGATATGTCATCGCTCTCTGGCGTACCTCATCTCTCTTTCTCTCTCTCTACACCTTTATTCCTATCCTTTTAATCATCCTCACCCCCATCCCTTGTGAGCTACTGCTGAGGTGTCACACCCTGATGCAGACAGTTGCGGGGCTCACTTTTCATTTCTTTTCCTTCTTCTAAACATAAACATCCCCACCCCTGATAACCTAGGGGTTTTTTTTTATCAGTACCACGCCCACACCAGCGGGCACATACCGCTTCGGATGAGCTATTTAAGGCTTTCAACTGTCTGAGAAAGCAGGATAGGGCAAAGACTTGAAAAATAAATCTAATGCACAAAACAAAAGAGGTCTTAGACGCATTAGCATGAGCTAGCCACTTACTGCGCACACACCCGATACGTTCTAATGGTTATTTATACGATTTCTAGCTTATGATCATCTGTAACAGGTGTACATTCGTCATTCCTCACGTCACTAAATTAGACCCCCTTCGCTTATGATAGACTGCGTTCAGAAACGCGTTCCATAGATGGTCGTGTCTGCGTGTATCGTTGCGGTGATATACCAACTAGACGTAAACAAACGAGACTTCCCTTTAGCATCACTCAATTACGCTCTAAGCGCGGTGAGTCAATGCAGTATTACGTTGCAAGGACATAGTATTCGATACCGCCGAAATTATCGCAATGTTGGCAGACAGCCGCAAAAGTATCAGGCGCGTAGTAGACGCCCGCGCTTTGCCGCAGCTTCCATCGCGAGAACAGCTCACGGGTCTGGCACGACAGCACCGCGGCGCAGAAGTTCACAACAAAAGGTCTTCACTCCTCCAATGTATTGGCGGGGCGCTTTGGACACTCTCTCATTTACTAGGTCACTCTAACTGAGCTACGTCGGTGCTTATGACTTGTTGGCAAACTTGCCTTATGCAGGATGGATGTTGGGAAAGCAATCGCGGTTATACGAGTTATAAAGCGTTTTACAACAGTGAACGAACAACCAGTCGTAGCACAATGCGAATAGCGTAACGAGCGGGCCGTCCAATGCTCCAAACCATGACAAACGCTTGTTCTCGTTCCCCTATTAACTGTGGCGCATACCCACTTCAGCCATAATTGCTCATCGTCGTCAGCCACTGCATGAACAATTGGCACGAAATTCCTTGCAAGTCTTTAGTGCATACCACGATTCTCGGTAGAATGACGAAAAATAGCATAGCGCATGCCAGCCTACTACCCAAAAACATTTTTATAAATGCCCTGGTGGCTATCACGCTAGTGTGGTTGCAGTAGTTACCCAATGAGTGCTTTGAAAAGGCTCTGAAAGGCCAGTCTTCTATACCTTTCGCTGTGACTGTGCTGCGCCTTCCGCTCAGGCGTAGCGTTTTTTTTTTAATTTTTTTTAATGCGAAGCACTTCTTGGCGAGCTTCATCAACTTTGACCGTGTCTATCTTTCTAGCCGCCTAAGACTTTTAGCTTTCCTGGTTTTTCCGATAATGGAATCTATACGAAAATTGGTATGACATCACATCACTGCAAGACGGGCATAAGTGAGTACACATAAAATGAAAATCATGACCTGTATGCCATGAATGTCGTGATTTACATGTCATGGTCTTGCAGCTCTTGCGGTGGATTCGTTCACATGACGTATTGCAAAACTGATATGTTATGGCATGACTGCATGGTGAACATAAGTGACAGACCGTAATGTGCAAATCATGACATTTATGTCATGTAACTCCTGACTACACACCACGCTCATGTTGCACTCGCGGTCGTTTGGCTAGCTTCAAATATACCAAACCGGTATTATGTGATCTATAAAGCGATGTCCCATGTAAGAACATGACTACATACCACGCTCATGATGCGCTGGCGCCCATTTCTCTAGCCTCACATATATCAGATTTGGTATTACGTGACGTGAATGGACGACGAAGGTAAATGACATGTCCAAACGTGATATTTATGACATGCGTGTCGTGTAAAAAATGACTGCATACTATGCTCATATGCGCCCGCGGCCGTTTTGCAAGCTTCACATATATTAAATTGGGTGTTACGTGACGTGAATAAATGAGGTATGTGACTAGTGCAAACATGATAAACATGACGTGCGTGTCAAGTAAGAGAATGACTATAAGTACCACGCTAATTAGCACTTGCAGCCGTTTCGCTATGTTAGCATACACTAAATTTGCTATCACGTGACGTGAATGGATTATGAAGGTAAATGACGCATCCAAACATGATAATCATGACATGCGCGACATTTAAAACATGACTACATGTTACGCTCATAGGGTGCTCGCGGCCGTCTCGCTAGCTTTATATATACGAATTCCAGTGTTACGTACGTGATATGAATGGATTATGAAGGTATATGTCTGGCGCAAACACGATAATCATGGCATGCGTGTAATGTAAGAACATGACTACATACAACGCTCATGATGCGCTCGCGGCCGTATTGTTACCTTTACATATATATACTAAATTTGATATTACGTGACGCAAGTGGACGACAAAGGTAAATGACTTCAAGATGACAATCACGATATGCGTGTCATGTAAAACATGACTACATGCTACGTTCATAGCCTGCTCGCGGCCGTTTCGTTCGTTTATATATAGCACATTGGATGTTTCGCGGCGTGAAAGAAAGACGAACACGGATGCCAGGCGCAACCATGATAATCATGACATGGAAGTCATATACGACATAATTTACGTTCGCCTCGTAACGTTGTGTTGATTTTAAAGTGACATATCCACCTTCATCATTCGTTGCTTCGCATATCATTGATTTTCAGTGTACGTGAGATCTGCCAATTTTTTAGCTTCATTTCGTTACGTTTCACTCAGTAAAAAAATACAAAACAGTCACCTTCTCTACATTGACTCTCTGGACGTAGGATCTTTGGAATTATTTTTTATATTTTATTAATCGCTCTGATGGGCAACATGCGCGTTTTTTATTCTCACTGTTGCGTTTTTCTCTCTAATTTCGCTCCTTTCTGTGTGAAGGGGGCCAGTCAAGCTGTGCAAGGCAGCTTTTATTCCTTTACATCAAATGTATCGTACGGCTACGCATCTGTCACGAAGTTACTCGTACAGTGCTCTCGCGATGCACGTGTGTGTTCTGACGCCTGCCCGTTTTATTCGCAGCTACTCGACGTGGCGGTGCTAGGCCAACAGAGGACCGGCAGCCGTGGGGCTCGTCGACGGAGAGCTCGCCGCTTGTCGACAGGAAAAGACTGGTCGGCGATGAACAACCAACGAGGCTGAACGGCGTCCGTCGCGACTCCTGGGAAGGCGACTCGGGTGCCGCCAACGAGGTGCCGTCAGCTGAACAAGTTATCTCGCTCCACGGCGTTCATTCGGCCGACAGCTCGCAGCACTCGAAGAAGGGCCACGGCTCAGCGCAGCAAGGCGAAGATGGACTGACTACCCCCAGAGAAGCATTGCGGACGCAGTCAGACATACATCGTTACTGGAGGAGCCACCACGGAGAGCACAGCGCGGACAGTCTCGGCGCTGATAGAAATGAGACGACGGGTCACAAGACGGTCAGCCGCGCGTTCAAGAGAAGCTACCCCGACGACGACTATGACCTCGAAGACGACGACAATGCGCAGCCCACGCGCAGGGGCGACATCAGCCCCTTCGACGACGAAGAGGGGCCCGGCGGCAGTCCGCGTACCGTGACGTTCGAGAGGGGACCCAAGGGCGACCGCGAGCCGTATGACCTCCAGAGTTCTTCGCGGTCTTCCCCCGTCGACTACTTCGGTCGTCCGGTGCAAGTTCTCAGCGGAGAGAAAGCGCACCAGCAAGACACCCTGTTGCGGCGCCAATACGAGATGGCCCAGCAGCACAGGCGCGCCAAGATCGAAGAGTTCAGGGCTCGCGAGGAGGTGCGATTCGAACCACCTCCGCCGCACGCACCCGTGACGTCCCGGCCGCTCGATTACTTCGGGAGGCCAGTGCAGGTGCACACGGGCGAGAAGGCAGCCCAGGCTGAGGCCCTCCTCCGACGCCAGTACGAGATGGTGCAGCAGAGGATGCAGGACAACCAGGTGCAAGAAGCCCGCAAGCGTCCCGACACCGACTACTTTCCCAGGCAGGGAGTGAGCGAGGACGACGTGCGATACCGGGGAGACAGGGAGCCGCTGCCGGGAGTCACGTCGAGGCCCGTGGATTACTTCGGCAGGCCAGTGCAGGTCCTCGAGGGTGCCAAGGCTGCCCAGGCCGAGGCAATGCTGCGAAGGCAGTACGAGGAGTACCAGGCGCGTCTCAGCAGCAGCAGGCCCAGTGAGCCGGACTACGCCGAGGGCAGACCGGTCGAGTTCAATCGCAGACCCGTGCAACCTGCGAGCTCGCCCCCGTTCGACCACTTCGGCCGACCCGTGCAGGTTCTCACGGGCGAGAAGGCGGGACAGCAGACAGAGCTGCTGCGACAGCAGTACGACATGGCGCAGCGCGGCGCTCTCCAGGAGGAGGCGAGGGGCAGGCCGGTCGAGGAGCACCGACACCGGCACCAGCACGGCGAGCAAGGCACCAGCGGAGCCCTGAGGCTGAGCCGAGAAGACTTGGAGCTCATGAGTCGGCTGTCGCCACAGCTGCGCGCCAGCTTCGTCCGGGACCTGCGCCAGGCGCGCATCAAGGAAGAGACGGACCCGGAGAGGGCCAACAGATTCCTCAGCCGTTATCGCAGCAGCCACGGTAATCACGTTCTTCGACTATTCAGCACATTTCGTATTGCAAATATGCGAGCGATGAGACACTAGTATCGGCGGTGAATTGGTTGGGACGAAAAAAAAAAGCTTTAAATGCGACGTTCATATGTATTAATGCACAAATTACTGGCAGTGAATATTAGCGCAAATCCGTAAATGTTGTTGATGGTGGAATTGTAGGTTTGATTGGAAATACTTAAATTACGCTTTTTTGTGAACGAAAAAAAAAAACATACGGGAAAGTGATAAAACAACAATATCCTGCTGGCACCAGCTTTTAAAGACGTCGGATAAGATGATATCTTGTTCGGTCACATATCAGCCATGAGACGTGCCACATGTAGCTAACGGTAGATGTAAATCTTGATGGGCGTGTGTTACGAAAAGAAGGATGTTTTAAAAAAGCAGGTCGGTTAACGAATTTGAACGAGACCTGCTTTTTATTTTCTTCGGTACATATAACTAGGGCTGTGTGTACAAGCAATCACACGGAGAGATAGCCGAGTACTTAATGTTGCTGCAATCTGGCCGCCCACTCAAAAGTATGTTCACATGACACGACGACGAATGCATGCGTAATTTACATACTAGAACACAACCACGATGAACCAACTCGCCCAAATTAAGTTCTTGTTGCCCCACGTTTTCTTTCCTGTGCCAATTCGCAGCAGCTAAAACTAATGAGAGCCATAAAAGGTCCTTGAGACCGCAGGAAGAGACGTGCTTCCCTCTCGCTGCTGCGACATGTCCACCACTAACAAAAATAATATGTGCTGTTTTACGTCCACTACGGCGTCTTATAATAATATCTTATTTTCGGGATGCTAAGCCTCAGATCCTGTTATTACGGTCCTCTTAATACCCTCATAGTCAATATTTAAAATATGCGCTCGCAACACCACCCGGCAACTCGAGGGAATGCGTCGAAGAGGGGCGGGGGGGGGGCGGTTGTCACGTGAATTTCGCGTAGTTGAGTATGGTTCGGGAATCCCTAATTGTTATTTCATTTTTGTTATTTTTGTTTATTGAGTGAAAGAGAAGTATTACGTTCAACGTCAAGCGAAAGCCAAGTAAAGACGCCCTTGACTGTATTCCTAACGTGCAATCCAGTTCCTACATATACGGGGTGGCCAGTGAATTGTTGTTCAGCGCAAGCAGTAGTTTTTTGGCTAGCAGACGCTGTTGCATTGTGAAGCGACAGAGGGGAGTGACAGTTTTGCGGGTGTCTTCCTGGGCGAGACGCGAGCATGCGGCTCGAGATTGCGCCCTGCCGGGCTGCAGAAATTAGGTGCCTCTTTCCTCTCCTAATCACTACCACCATCACCATGTGATAAATCGTGCGACTAAGAAATTCTCCGCATTAAAGAAACTAGACAATTAATTAGGCTCAACACCCTAATGAGCGTCACGTGAAATTACCATGTCTCACGCAGCCGAGATGATGGTGGCCGACGAGCCGTTGGAGATCACCACGGCGAGCACTGAAGACACGTCGTCGGACACGTCGACCGAGTCGTCTGCCAAGGCCACGTACGACCAGAGCTGCCTGCAGGACCGCAAGCTGGGCCGGCCGTTCCTCAGCGCGCCCAAGGTGAAGCACGCGTACGTGTACAAGTACGAGCGCAAGGTGCTCGGCAAACCGGCGCAGAGCCACTACGTGCTGGCTCGCTACAAGTGCCTGCTCGGCTATTCGCTCAAGTACGCCAAGGCGAGCGCCCTCTACTGCCGGCAGCGGCAGTGGATCGGCGAGCATCCGACGTGTGTCAGGAGCTCGACCACCGAGCAGCTGTGATTGGTAGAGTGAGAAAGTGGTCGGCACGACTAGACCGAGTGCTGGCCTACACGTTTCTTTACGTCGCATCGGCGACAGTGCTTAGATGCCAAAAAAATATTTCATATTTGATAACCGCTCACTAGGGAGGTACCATGACAGTCTTGTACAAATACAGTTCGTGCACAAACATGCGTCATTGCGTGTGCAAAAAGAAACTTGCGCCGGTGTAAAGACAACACGCGGGGCTCGCTGTGTTTGTGCCTTCGAGAAGCCTAACGCGACGCGTAGTGTAGCGCACTTCTCCACTGCCCTCTGTGACTTCGCATACGTCAGATTATTTGTGCCATTGTTCTTCCTGTGAGAAAGCGTAGTTTATGTGAGATGTTCTTTACTGCAGTGTAAATACACAAATCGATCGCTGGGTCACATATCCTGATATTTTATGTGTTCTATGTGTGCTCACAACTCGCTGTGCTTTTCTGCTTTTCGTCAAAGCAGAAAAGGGCCAGTCATTGCTTTTGTATGAACGTGCTAGCGCTGCAAAACTATTTATTTACACCCCCAAAAAATGTATATTGTGTCCTGTGAAAAAATAAACAGCTCATGAAGAAAGTTGTCCGTCTGGTGTTTTCGGGCAGTTTGTAAGTCGTAGAAATAATTGCGATCGTGATCTTCTCCGCATACAACTTGAGAACGCGCGGCACAGCTGTAAGCGAAAAAACGAACTTGGATATTGCCGGGTTGTGCGAAAGTAGCACGTACGGAGGGAAGTACTCAGTAAAATTATGCCACAGAAAAAAATTGTAGTGAACCAAAAGAGCGAGGCTTTATCTTCAAGCAAAAATAAAAAGGATAAAAAATCAAAAGCCCATTTCTGAGAGTTGGGGGAGAGGGAAGCTCACTGCAGCCTTGTCTCGCACATACATCTTCTTTTCGATGAGCATATTCTTTTGTACAGGTGAAGCTTGGGACACCCACTTTCATATGTAACGCAAAGGAAGTGGCCGAAATCTACCTATGCTTAAGATTCTGTCACATGACGAAGAAAATAACAAAAACAAGAAAATGAATGCTGAGAAAGTGAACTCATGCATCTCTCACGAGTATGCTGCTCTTTAAAAACCAGCGTTACATACCTTTGACGAAGGGTCCGTGTGCATGCTTGCAAATAAAACGATTAAAGAACAGAACAAGTCGACTGTATTCGTAGCCAAGCGACGGGCGCGCTTTGGCTACCGTACCTTGTCTATGGCAAGATGGCTACCTCGTCTTCGCTGCACCCCATTGGTATGTATAGGCGGCCTACACTCCAGCAAGATTTATTCAAACCTCCTTGAGAAAAACCAACGAGTATCACCTCGCGCGCCCGGCGACCGCGAGATGGCGGATTCAGTGTAGATTCCGGCGGCGACAGAGACCAAGGCAGAAAGCAGAGGGCATGTGATTGTAGCGTGCGCATGTTGTTTTAAATGCGAAGCATTTCTTAGTGAACTTAGCGAAGCAAGAACGAACGGACGGGCTGACGGACGCTTCGCCCCACTCATCATCATTCACTCCGTTGATATGCTGTGATTTTTTTTGTTAGTGCATTTAATTTTGTCAAATTTACGAAGAAAAGCATGACAACTGCTGAATTTTCCTGATATAGATCGTTGTAAGGAGGTATCAATTCGTCATGGCAGTATTACTTTTTTTCATTACGGTTCATTTTGTCTCGGTGCTAAATACGCCAATTTGAGAAATATAGAGATATTCTAGGATTCATCCTTTCTGGAGACGTGCATAGATGAAAACTGGGCAAATCATGATCATTGAATCACATTGCCGCATTGTGACGCATCGTTTTACTACTTTATCACGTATGGATATAGGTGAGCTGATCAACCGAGCCAGTTACGTTCTTCAAAAATAAGTGCCCTGGTGGTCATGTTACTGAAATAATGTGATAAGTAATTTTGCCCGAATATTGTGGAAGGCTTCAATTAGCCGACCTACTATTACTCCCCACGTCTTTCAGAGTAAGTACCTGAGTTGTCATCGTCTCTTTTTCCGTCGTCTATGTTTTGATTATCTTTTGGTTGCCCAATGGTAATATGAGTATCGTGTTTGCTTACTGTACTCTCGACTGCATACACATTAAAAGGTTGGACATATGGCAGAACCGGCATCTTTCTGCAGAAAAGTAAGTATTAGTCGAGGTAGACTACTGAAGAAAGAAAAAGTGCAAAATTTTCACTACTATGTAACGCGCAGTGTTTTATACGAGATACAACAAACTGTGTTGCGTTACTTTTGAACAAGTAAAGTATTTCGATTTTTGTTCTAGCATTGCCCAACACATAAACTCAACACCGTAAATGCCCCAGCGTGAATGGGTGACCATTAGCACTGTGACTTTGCACAGGTGTGATTATATCAGTGTTTCCGCAAGAATTCTTGAATGAAAAGCAGCGGTAGTTTCATGAAAGGAAAGAAACCCATTTAATCGATCGAGTGTCACCCGTCAGCGTAGAACTCATCGCTCGCGGATCGGGCTCTCACGTTTTTTTCTTCTTCGCCATCCATACTACACATTCCGCAAACTTCCAAGTATAGTGTGGATCTATTGCAGAGGCATCGTACTTATAAGGGCGGTGCAAATCTACAGCAAGGAAAAATGCCCATTTAAGAATATGTATGTCTCAGCATTGACTTGGCCTCTCGTACACCTTGACCCGACATTTCCGAATGAGCGCAAGGTTTTACAAAAGTGCAAAATATTTTTTTTCTCGCCACATTCCAGCTGCGCCGACAGCGCGGCAGCCTTTTCGATCCTCTGCGGGAGTGCCACAGTGCGGAGAAAAGAGCGGGCCACGCCCATCTCTGAAACCACGCTACAGTAAACTGGAAGTTCACGCGCACTCTAACCACGCTCTCCCCGTGCGATTGTTGCGGCCGAAAAGAAACATGCCGTACAACCGCCGCCTCGGAGGCCAAAATGCTTCCTGTTGGCCAGTGGCAACGCCGGTCTACGCCGCGTGTCGTGTTTTAGGGGCGAAGCTCCTTATAGCGGCACCCGTTCGTCCCTCGTAGCCGTTGTAGTATGTAACAAGTATAAAATTTTGACCTCCAAGGTGGTGCTGGTGAGAGATTTCTTCTGTGCGTTGTTGAACAATAAAAATAGTGCTCATAGTACATGCCAATGGCTGCTAATAAGGAATGAAAGACAGGAGCATTCGGCTTTTAGTTACCGCGTACGCTGCAATCCCCATTACCAGCCATTGGCATGTACATTGAGCACTATCTGACAAGAAAGTGTTGCTACGTTATACTGGCTGGCTGTAACCTCCTTAGCTTTAGAAAGGTTTATCGAGTGTTGAGCCGCAGTGCCATGAATACAATGAACCAGTATTTACCATGAATGAACTCGAGGTGGTTAAAGGTGGGAAGTAGATACGAAGCGCAAGCCGTAAGAAAGCAAAAGCCAAATTCTCCTGTCTCTCATTTCTCTTTAGCAGCCATTAACATGTACATTGAGCACTATCAAACAGGAAAAGGTTGCTACGTTATACTCGCTGGGCGTAACCTCCTTGGTTTTAGAAAGGTTTAGCGAGCGTTGGGCCGCAGTGCCATGAATACAGTGAACTATTATATACCATGAAATCGAGGTGGTTAAAGGTGGGAAGTAGACCCGAAGCGCAAGCCGTAAGAAAGTGTGCGTGTGCCACCTCTCGTTTAGTCATTGGAATGTCCGCTGGATGGCGGTGATTCTATATGGGGAATATATTGCCATCAGCACGTAGTAAGTTGACAGCAAGAGCGGCTCTCAATCTGAAGGGAAAAAAGAAGATCGCGTGCTTCTTCTCTGCTCGAGAGCCAGCCACGACTGACGCATCGTCCTAGTGCTAGCTACCTGGTGGTTTAATAAATCCCCCAGTACTTGTGACTCATCGTGACAAACTGGTGGAGGTGCTGGGTAGTCTCACGGATGCTGCAGACCCCCCCCCCCCCCCCCCTAGGAAGCCGTGATACGAGTCGAGTGCCAGTCAATACTCCCGTGCATCGGACCAGCCGCAGAATCAGGGGATTGCTTCCAGAAGTCGATGATACTCCTCCCACCACGTCGACAAATATGACCAGCGCTTCGGTGCGAACATCGGCAACCGGCAAGTGTTCTAGTCGACGTAACATGCTGTGGTTTGGGCGATGGCGATGTGGTGGCTGAGACAAATTTAGAACACCTCCTGCAGCAAGGCATTTGTGTAGCTAAAAGTGTAATACACTTTCGTGATGGCCGATATGAATTGCTCGTAACCAACTTTAGCAACGAGCATCGACATCTGTTCCGTGGCACTTCGATAGCGTCTGCCCACGAAGTAGCAAACGTCACGAACTGTCTCACGTCGGAACTAGTGGATACCACCGACACGTCAATGAGTAATATTGACATCAATCCTGATCTGTCCACCGATAACCAGACTGCGCAACGAGCACTCTTGTTCGAGTTTAGGTCTTGCTTCGCAAGTTGCTCTAAGATCCGCCAGACGTCCATCACTCAACACAGGATCATCACGTACGAGGACGCACACCCAATACACCAGAACCCCTACCGCGTGTCGGCCAAAGAACGTGAAGCGATACGTACGCAAGTCCGCGAGATGCTTGACGATGGCGTTATTGAACGATTTAACAGCCCGTGGTCATCTCCAGTCGTCCTTGTCAAAAAGAAGGACGGGTCGCTACGCTTCTGCGTCGACTACCGAAAGCTTAACAACATGACCATAAAGGATGTGTATCCGCTGCCGCGTATCGACGATTCGCTGGATAGACTTCGTCATGCCCATTATTTCACTTCTCTCGATCTCAAAAGCGGGCATTGGCGAATCGAGGTAGATCAGCGAGACCGCGAGAAGACAGCCTTCGTGACTCCAGACGGCCTATACCAATTTCGAGTGCTCCCTTTTGGCTTGAGTTCAGCTTCGGTAACTTTCCAGCGAATGATGGACACTGTCCTCACAGGGCTCAAGTGGCAGACTTGTCTTGTCTACCTTGATGATGTGGTGGCCTTCTCTACCACGTTCGAGCAACACCTTCACCGCCTGCACAGCGTGCTGGAGGCTATCCGATCGGTGGACCTCACACTAAAGCCACAGAAGTGCCACTTCGGCTATAAAGAACTAAAATTTTTTGGACATGTAGTTAGCGCCGAAGGAATCCGACCCGAACCAGACAAGCTTGCCGCTGTTGCCGAATTACCAGCTCCTGTCGATAAGAAGGCCATCCAGCGCTTCCTTGGTTTATGCGCCTACTATCGCCGGTTCATTGAAGGCTTTTCACAGATAGCGGAACCTCTGACTCGTTTCACAAGGGACGACACGCCATTTGTCTGGGAAAACGAACAACATGAAGATTTTGATGAACAGCGAGAGCGCATGCAATCAGCGCCCATTCTCGCTCATTTCGACGATGATGCTGACACGGAGGTCCATACCGACGCTAGTAACATTGGGCTCGGTGCAGTGCTCGTTGAGCGTCAAGAGGACATCGAAAGAGTGATAGCCTTCGCCAGCCGCTCTCTATCCCGTGCCGAGACGAATTACTCCACTACGGAGAAAGAGTACCTCGCAGTCGTGT